GTAATGCTGCCCAGTGATTAGAGCCTGAGTTCTCCCCAACTGCCATTCATTCTCTCTGTGACCTGGGACAAGTCAAACAAACAAACTCTTTCTGCCCCACTTTATCCCCATTTATAAAAGGAGGATAGATAGTGCGTACTAATTTCACAGTGCCAGTGAGAAGCTTAATTCAAAAAGATAGTGGATGGAGCACTCAGCTGGGACTCAAGACACCTGGGTTCTCTATTCCAGGCTCTACCATTGACCTGCTGGATGACCTTGGGCAAGTCAGGTCACCATTCTGTGCCTCAGTTTCCCCATCAGACAAATGGGAATAATGATACTTACCATCCTTTGCACTTTGAGATGTACTGATGAAAAGTGCTATACAAGAGCTAGGTATGACTATTAGTATTGTTGCACATAAAGTGCTCTGAGATCCTTCAACGGAAGCTGTTACAGAAGCAAGAAGTAGTATTAAGACAGATTTCATGTTGACTGTCACATGAGAAAATGATCCAAGAGGTTACCGATGTCATGGAACGGAGATCTGTAAGATTTAATTAAGCCAATCATTTGCTGAGTGAGGAAAAAACAGACCAGGGGGCCAGATAATTTGCCCTACAAGGGCTTAAGAGGAGACAAGATCTGAACAGGGTCCAAAGGCAGGCAGGAAATGGAGGTTTGTGCATGTTTGGAGCTGAGCCAAGGTGGGGCAGGAATTGAGTCACCAGTCCTCTTTCCTAACAAGAGCTGGAGCCGCCAGGGTCTGGTCTAGGCCTGGGCAGCCTGTTCAGGACTGAATCCAGACTGAGTCTGCTGAATCAAGCCTCAACATCAAAAGCCACATGAACGGACAGCACTGGCTCCAGGATCCCATCCAATGGGCATAGGAGGGATGAAAAAGCCAGTCATTTCCCAAGGACCAGCGCAAAAGAGCTCTGGGAACCCACCCCAAGGAAGTGGGAGAGTTTGGGGTTGGGTTTGCTTCACCTTCAATTTGTTTTATCTGTCCAAGTTTGTACAGCCCTGGTTTTGACCCAGTACAAATAGTAAAACTGACCATTCCAGGCCATTGCACTGTAGCTGGAAAGGAAATAACCTTGAAATGTCACCATGAACCTGTGGATATCTTGTGGCAAGTAGATGCTGTAATTAGAACCAACCCTTGAGGTGCACATCACCAGATACAACATGTGAGTCAGATTGGACAGAGAGATGTGGAAGGGGAGGAGGAGCTACAAGGACAGAAGCCGTGAGTGAAATCATAATGGCTCAAGAGAGGAATCAAAGTAACCTAACCAAACCAAACCCCTCCATGAAGGAGCAAAAAAAAGGATGAATGAACGGGCTGTTTATGACATAGAAATCAGGGACAATCCTATGGGGAAAATATGATAGAGGAACAAGGAATAAGAGGGAGATCTACTTATTTTGCATTACTAATCCAACCATAATTATAATAAACCAACTGTACCTGGCTACACGTGTATGTACCCATCACCACAGCAGCTAGGCACAATATGAGGAGTATATTGTGATCCTAACACTTTCACATGTCATTATCACTCCTAGAGGTTGTCTCCCAAGAGTAACACTTCTGCACCATTCTGCTACTCCATTACTGGGGAAAGCCACTTTGAAGTGAGGAGCTTAACAACAGACCTTAAAAGTGGTAAGAGGTTGGCTCATCTTGACCTAAGGTAGCAGGGAATTGCACAGTGCCTCCCCCTGGAGACCTCCTGTCATGCATGATTGTGGCAGGGAGGTGGTCTCAGAGAACTAAGCCCTTGCCCATTGTTGGATTTAAAGATAAGGGGCTGGATCTTGGATCAGTCCAAACTCAGGTCAGAAATGTTGAGATAAATGGGCCTACAAATTTACTCTAATTGCGAGCTCAGCTGTAAAAAAAACGTGAGATGTCACAATACCCTATAGTGACAAATGTTGATGGGGAAAGGTACGAAAAGGAGACAGACTAAATTAGTCTAAACAAAAGGGCCTACTGATAGGGTTCAAGGAATATGTTAAAATCATACTTGGTAAAAACAGAACATGTGGAATCAGGAATTTATGAACCAAAATTGGTGTGTCAGATAGTAGGTCTAAGTGGTGGACAAAATAATGAGGGGATGGGCTATTCAACCCATCAATCCCTTTGTGTGTCCTTAAAGAAAGGGACTTTGGAGGAAAAATAAGGAAAGAACAAACAGAAGCTACTGAAGCAAGCGTCACCATCATGGCTTCCACCCCCACTGTCTCCTGGGACTTCAGACCTTCTTCATCCTAACCCTGAGGAATGACCTGACCAGAGTGGGCCAGAGATTGATGTACCCAGATGATATCACCACCCCTACCAACTCCAGCGGAATCCCAACCACCACCTGAGATGAAACGGGACTGGACATTAACAGTGCCAGCCCATCTCAACTAATTTCTTCTCTTCTGTCCCCAAGGACAGTTATTACCATCTTTGATACCCTCTAAGAGGCTATCAAACATGGGATTTTTTCCCCCTCCACAACTCTCTCCAGCTAAAGGGAAAGGTAACAGGAAATGTTGTTAAATGAACATTTTTCCTTCTTTTCTGTATCTATAATAAAAGCTTTAAACGATTTTAATGGGGCATTTGCCATGGTATTATAAGGGACCTAGGCATAGGCAGTCTGACCTAGAAGTCATAGCTGGGCTGCTGTCATTAAGCCCAGGGTGGTCACGAGGCAGTAGTCAGCATGGAGGGATCAGACTAATTGTTAGAGCTGGGATCAAAAGGCAAGATCCAGGGTCAGAGTCAGAGTCAGGCCAGGTCAGAGACTGGAGATCAGTAAGCAAGGTGAGGTCTAGAGCCACCACAAACCAGAAGTCTGCATGGCTGCCCAGACAACTTCCTGGGGCACCCTCCAGGGTTAAATAGTGAGCCTGAGCCCATCAGATGGTCACAGGCTGCTGTCACTATGGTCCCTTTGAGCAGTTCTTCCTAATGCAATTAATCTCTGCAGTGCTCCTTGCATATGATTCTCTGAGGCCTCCAGATGGGGATGTGAGAACATCAGCTGTGCCAGGCTCCGCAGACCCGGCGTTCTAGTCCAGCAGCTCCTTACCGGTACTAAGGATGCTGAGATATCTGTATACCAAATCCTGAGCCTTGTTTAACGCTGTTTAATGTTGGACAATGACTGGGTTATGCTAACACCTTTGGCCTGTATTCCATCTAAATGAACTTAACAGGCGTCAGTACAGAGTGAAGAGACGGTGCTGTGTGTCTATTAGATCCATCCAGACAAAGGGAGGTGGTGACACAGTATGAGGTGAGACGTGAAGGAGCTGGGATGGGGAGTGATGCCATGAAGGAAAGCAGGAATTCAGCTGCAGAATGGTCAAACTCACTACAAGCATGCGTCTTCCCAAGAAAGGGTTCTGCTCTCAGACAGATGAAGCCATCAGGGGCTCAAAGGAGTGAAGGAGATGTCTAGCAAGCAAAGATGAATCTGGCCCTGGTCAGCAACCTATACCTGATGGCAAAGGGCTCTTTAATGTCCATGGCTCTCACCAGTGCAGGCCTGAGGCCCTGTCCTTAGCTGGTGTAAATCGACCTAGCTGTCTAGACCTTAATGGAACTCTGCTGATTTACAGCAGCTGGGGATGTGGTCTGAGTTGGAGTGGCCGCAAAGAAACATTTGCGGGTGTATGTCATACTCTGTGGAAATTTCTCCATGTCACCAAGCCAGTACAATCAGTCACATTTGGCAGACTTGGCTCCTGAGAGGCCCAGGACTGTGATAGCAGGAGGGGCTGCAGGCCACGATGACCAAGTCACAGATCTATGAGAAGGAACTTTACGCAGCAACGGCCTGAATTGCATGCTTTATTGCTCCAGACAGTGATATCAATCAATTCCCTGCCATTGCAGGAATCTGAGGCTTTGGTGCATTTCAATCCCTCCTGTTCTCTGCCTGGGTCACACAATAGTTTAGTCTCCTGAGGATTGTAATACTTTGGTCTAATTCCAGTTATTGGCTTAGGATGGGGGTGAGGGTGGATGGTGTTGACCTCCTGTGATATACCAGAAGTCAAACTAGAAGTTTTGGTGGTCCCTTCTGGCCTCAAACTTGATGAGTCTATACCCTTCCCTTACTTACATGAGTGTGAAATATACCAGTCAAATGTTTATTATAGAAACAGGAGTGAATGCATCTGACCATTGCTATGGGATAAGCCACTGGACAAGGTGCACAGATCTAACAGGACAGAAGGTGTGGATAGGTTACAAGAAATCTTTCCATTCCACAGCAAAGAGCTATGTAGATTCAAGACCCACATTGGAATTCAAAGCTGCTTTTAGAAACCTGCAATGAAAATGAAGCATACGCTATATCCCCCTACAGTAAACCACAGCCAAGAACAAATCAACAAATGGAAGAATGGCCATGTGCCCAGACCTCTCCACAGCTCATTTAGAAGTGTTCAGAAACTGTCTTTGAAAATGCAGCCTCTTTGTGACCCATCAGAGCTTCTCAATTAACTCTCCTTGCTGGCATCACATGTGGCCTACAGGTGTCACTGGAGAAGCTCAAAAAATGAAACTAAAGCAGACCTCTGCAAAGCCACAGATATCCCTTGCTGGCTATGGCAAAACACAGCATTGATAGTCAAATGAATATAAAAACTGCCATCCCGAGATCCATCTAGATTGGTGACCTGCTTCCAACAGCAACCATTGTCAGATACTGCAAAGGAAGCCACAGCATAATGCACCTCCTTGTGCAAAACTGCTTACCAGGGGTCAGATGTCACGCTATCCTCAGCTACTGATTATCTTAGGGCCTGGGTCAGTAGCCTTTGCAATTTTACCCTGGTAAGCGTAGCTGAAAATGCTATTGTTATTCATGCAAACATCTAACCTTTTTTGAAATGTGAAGGAGTTTCTGTCATACTGTGAGGAAAGTGGCACACATGTTTTTGGAGCAGGATCATAAAAAACATGCTGCACTCACATATTCCTTTGCATAAGTCTGTCTTACCTTCTGATAGTTCTTAACAGAGTGGACCTGGCTTCGTTGTGGAAGGTGATGATGATACTTGTTGATGGCAGATCCAGACGATAGTGCAAAGTAGTACATCTGAGGAGGTGGAAAAGATACAGGTATCACTAAAGTTCCGGAATGTAAAATGGCAGCTTATTTAATAGACACAAACATTAAAGGCACAGTATAGAGGTAGACGGTACTCATTCAGAGTTCTCCTGGCACGACTAAAATAGTGGTATTCTGAGCTATTCTTTTCTGTTTGACCCAGAATCTATAACATCCTACTGTGTGGGATAAGATGCCTGGGAATTCTACCATCCCCCTTTCATTCAGCTTTGTTTTCAGGTGTGGGTAAGCCTACTGTGACTAGCAATGGACATCCCGAAAGAGGTTCAGCTTATATAGACACAGTGTTTGAGGAACCCAAACAGACTTTTGATGTGCATTCCTGGCATAAATATTGTTACATCGCAACACAAACAGTATTAGGCACCGGGGCCAGCCCAGAAGAGTTCCCGACAGCCTGACCAGCCTCGTCTTTCTCCTGAACTTTGGGGATTGGGACCCAGGGCATAAGATTCTTTCCCCATGTAGGTGGTCCCTTCCAGAAGGCTTGGGATAAGCTCCCAGATCTTGGGGCTCTTTTGACTGAGAAGTGATCACACCACACTGAAAACATTTGCTTATCCAGCCCTGAGTGTTGTATGAGTAAATGCATAAAGAAGATGTCTCAGATGCAGCTACGGTACAATGGTCACACTTTCTGCTTCTCTAGCACCCTTCATCTAGGGAATCTAAAAGCACTTTACACACATTAATTACTTATCCTCACAATACTGTACAGCTGGTATTATTTCTCCTACTTTACAGAAGAGTCAATTGAGGCACAGAGAGGTTATGTGAATTGCCCCGTGTATCAAACCAGGGATGCTATTTTTGGCAACGTAATGAAAGGGCGTGGAAAGCACTTGCAAAATACATCACCCAGACAGGGGGACAGTTTAGGAGATGCGCAGATTTATTGATTCCACAGAGACGTGAGGCAGACTCCTTGTACTTGGGTGTCATACACTTTTAAAACTCCAGCTGCAATTATGGTACAGCCACTTATGTACAGTATCTGATTAGCCAGCTGCCAATGTTTTCTTCAGGCAGGAAGTTGGTAGAACGGCCAAATCTCCAAATCCAAACACTTCCAGGCTCTGCAAGCTTGGGTCCTAGCTCTGGATAATGGGCTGAATCAAAACCCCCGGGGCCTGATTCTCTACTGCCTTGCCTCTGGGGGGCCTGATTCATTATTCGCCTGCACCTATCAAATGGGTATAAAGTGCCATTGTTCTGACCTAGTTTTACACCCAGGTGTATATCACTGCACAAGCTGCAGGGCAGTAGAGACTTGGACCCGAGGTCTGAGTGCACCACTGCGCGGGTAAAGTTCCCTTCTGGCTCTGAATTTTGTGGCTCAGGACCAGCTATAGTAAGGCGCCTTCAAATCATGCTTTGTATATCTGACACCGAGCAGAACAGCACCAGTTCTCCTCCCATCCCAATTTTGTACATGGGTAGCTTCAGTGGTGTTATTCCTGATTTACACCAGTCTGAGCAAGAGGAGAAGCTGATGAATGGGGACATTTGTCAGTCGACTAAAAAGAAATGAAAAGTTCTAGCAAGGTTCTTCCACCCAGCCCCTATGTTTGTTTCCCAATGTAACAGCAGCTAAAGCCCCTGGTTCCTGAAGAGGCAGAGCACAGTTTAAGCTGTTGACTACAAGTGTTCTTTTGGCACTTGCTTGGGCGATAAAAACCACAGCTTGGAAAGGCATTAAATTCAGCATGTCCAGACTTATTCGGTGTGACAATTACATCTGGGGTCATTTCAATTTAATACCACCCCGCAAGTGAAAATTGCAGCATGCCACCCTAAAATTGCTGTAATAATGAAAATAAACCCATTAAGAGCTGCCTGTGCTACCTCGGGCTGTCACTGGATAAATGCTTTCTGCTGCTTATGGTACCTCATCGGTCATCCAGTTGCCAAGAAGGGGAAAAAACCACAACATTTTTAGGAAACCAAGATTATTCCTTAAAAAAAAAAAATTACTGCACTGCTTGTGTTTGCACTGCCGTGTAGCTCACAGTCGATGAGCCCTGTGCATGCTCTGAAATCCTGCAGCGAGGCAGGGAAGAAGGACTAGTAGAACTATTGCTTATGACAACCCCATGCGAGCTTGGCTGACCATAGCATGGGGTCTGTTCAGCCTCCGACATGCATGAAAGCCCACAGCAGCAAGACATGCCTGTGGATAGTGAGAATTAACAATCAGTTCTAACGACTTGCCATAGAGAGTTCTTCAGGGGATCCCAGGCTGTGCTGATTAGCTTCAGATCAAAAAAGCATTAAGATTTTGTACTGCCATCATGGCCTTCCTTCGCAAGATCGCAAAGACTCCACATGCAGTCAAAAAAGCTAACAGAAGGTTAGGAACCATTAGGAAAAGGATCGATAATAAGTCAGTAAATATCGTAATGCCACTATATAAATCCATGATACGCCGATACCTTAAATACTGCATGCAATTCTGGTCATCCCATCTCAAAAAAGATATATTAGAGTTGGAAAAGATATAGAGAAAGGCAACAAAAATGATTAGGGGCATGCAGAGGTGAAAGTAAGCCAGTCCAGTCCAGTACGGCATACCAGCAAGAACCAGTACACCACCGATCATACCAGCTTCCCCAGCTTGGCAATTTAAATGGTCCAGGGCTTTAAAGGCCCCGCCTCTTCTGGTTGAGGCCACGCTCCCTGCTCAGGACTCCGGTGTACCAGTAAGTCCTTTCAGTTACTTTCACCCCTGGGGCATGGAACAGCTTCCAAATGAGGAGAGATTAAAACAAGTGGGACTTTTCAGCGTGGAAAAGAGACAACTGGGGTGGGATAGAGGTCTATAAAATCATGACTGGTGTGGAAAAAGCGAATAAGGAAGTGTTTATTTAGCCCTTCACATAACGCAAGAACTAGGGGCCATCCAACAAAATTAATAGGCCGCACGTTTAAAACAAACATAAGGAAGTCTGTCTTCACATAACACACAGTCAACTTATGGAACTCATTGCCAGGGGAAGTTGTGAAGGCCAAAAGTGTAACAGGGCTCAGAAAAGAATTAGATAAGTTCATGGAGGATAGATCCATCAATGGCTGTTAGCCATGATGGTCAGGGATGCAAGCTCATGCTCTGAGTGTCCCTAGCTTCTGATTGCCAGAAGCTGGGAGTGGACAACATGGGATGGATCACTCGTTGACTGCCTGTTCTGTTAATTCCCTCTGAAGCACCTCACATTGGCCACTGACGGAAGACAGGCTACGGGGCTAGATGGACCACTGGCCATACTGGGTCAGACCATTCTTATGTTCTTGCTCATTAATGAACTAAGCCTTCCTGCCCCCCATGAGGTAAGCTAACCCCATTTTTCAGCCTGGGAAACTGAGGTAAGGAGAAGTGAAAGGCTTGACTCTGCCTTATTCACACTGAGCAGTTTATTGCTCTGCAAGGAGTTCCATTTACATCAGTGAGCCTCCACATGTCTTAACCACAGTGGCTCAGAATGTCTGTATTAGAGACTGGAATAGAAACCAGGACTGATGATTCCCAGAGATCATTTGACTCTGCATCCCCTCTTTTGTAAATCCTCATTACAGAAATAAAGATTACTTCCAAAAAGAGCTGGCGGGAACATGGAAGTTCCATTGAAAATGCCTTTTCATCAAAATCAAAACATTTTGCAGGAATATGCCGATTTCGACTAGATTTCATTTAAAAAATCCAAATGAAATGTTCTGTTGAAACTCTTCTCAAAGTTTTCATTACATGGAAAATTTTGGAATTTGTTGGGTTTTGTTCTGCATTCTGGTTCCCACTCAGATCTACTTCCAAGTAAAACTAATAGTTTTGTCAAGGCGTGAGAAGATCCATTCTCACATACAATCTCTCAGCCTATAGAGAAAGAGATAGAGCTGAACACATCCCTAGCACTCCACTCACCATTGAATAACAGATCAAATGCCAGGCTCTGGTTTTGCTCTTCAAAGCCCTCAATGAGTTGGGCCCAGGACCCTTGGGGGACCATTTCACTCTTCATGACCAGGACTACTGGACACCAGGGGTCTGTCAGCTACATGGGTCAAACCTGAGTGAGCAGAAGACAGCAGTTTCTCTGTGGCTGGCCCACACTTTGGGACCTCCCTTCCAGAAGAGATAAGGCTGAGGTTTTCAAAGGCCCCTCAGGGTGTTCCATGCCCAACTCCCATTGAATTTCTCTGGGAGCTGGGTGCTGTCTCCTGTAGGTGCCATTAAAAACCCCAGCTTGAAGTGACCACAAATCTTACTGCCTTCAGGACAAAATGCACAACTCATCTCATTAACATGGCTCTGCCGTATTGCCCACAACACTAATGGTAAATGATTATGTACCCTTCCCTCCCACATGAGATGAGGGGGAGCAGAGAACCAGAGACCGGCATTGATCCGACCCACGTAGTTCTGTAAAATGCTCAGATATCAGTGATGATCATGGTATAAACTGCACGAGGAAGGGAGAGGGAGATTATATATGTTAATGGGAGTGCTTCCAATGCTACAAAGCTTTACTAGCCTTCTATCTCTTCACTGTTTTTCCTTTCTTCTCCTCTATAGTGTAGTGTATAAGCTCATCATGTTCTATTATTTGAAAGCCACCAGACACCAGTGTGTACATAGTGAAGACTCGCATGTTGCTATATAGTTAGTAAATAGGGTTACTTGGGCACCAATCTGTGCCTGTCTAGTTGCTTCATATGGTTGATTGCTGTGCAAAGAACAAGTGACATAATGCTCTCCCACAAAGCCTAGGCATTTCAACAGGTCTACATTTGTAGCCATTCATCTGAGAAGACATTCCCTTTGAAGAGACATCCTGGGATCAGTTAATCACCATTTCAACCCCTGTCCTCCCTATGTATGGAAAGGCACCAGGCATCACAACCCCTGACCTCCCAACATGTCCACATCAATCATAGAATATCAGGATTGGAAGGGACCTCAGGAGGTCATCTAGTCC